GGGGGGTACACATTATTGGGGTACAGGAATTACTGGGCCGCAGAGGTATTAGGGTCCCGGGGAGGGAGGTTACACATTATTGGGGTACAGGAATTATTGGGCCGCAGAGGTATCAGGGTGCCGGGGAGGGGGGTACACATTATTGGGGTACAGGAATTACTGGGCCGCAGAGGTATTAGGGTCCCGGGGAGGGAGGTTACACATTATTGGGGTACAGGAATTATTGGGCCGCAGAGGTATCAGGGTGCCGGGGAGGGGGGTACACATTATTGGGGTACAGGAATTACTGGGCCGCAGAGGTATTAGGGTCCCGGGGAGGGAGGTTACACATTATTGGGGTACAGGAATTATTGGGCCGCAGAGGTATCAGGGTGCCGGGGAGGGGGGTACACATTATTGGGGTACAGGAATTACTGGGCCGCAGAGGTATTAGGGTCCCGGGGAGGGAGGTTACACATTATTGGGGTACAGGAATTATTGGGCCGCAGAGGTATCAGGGTGCCGGGGAGGGGGGTACACATTATTGGGGTACAGGAATTACTGGGCCGCAGAGGTATTAGGGTCCCGGGGAGGGAGGTTACACATTATTGGGGTACAGGAATTATTGGGCCGCAGAGGTATCAGGGTGCCGGGGAGGGGGGTACACATTATTGGGGTACAGGAATTACTGGGCCGCAGAGGTATTAGGGTCCCGGGGAGGGAGGTTACACATTATTGGGGTACAGGAATTATTGGGCCGCAGAGGTATCAGGGTGCCGGGGAGGGGGGTACACATTATTGGGGTACAGGAATTACTGGGCCGCAGAGGTATTAGGGTCCCGGGGAGGGAGGTTACACATTATTGGGGTACAGGAATTATTGGGCCGCAGAGGTATCAGGGTGCCGGGGAGGGGGGTACACATTATTGGGGTACAGGAATTACTGGGCCGCAGAGGTATTAGGGTCCCGGGGAGGGAGGTTACACATTATTGGGGTACAGGAATTATTGGGCCGCAGAGGTATCAGGGTGCCGGGGAGGGGGGTACACATTATTGGGGTACAGGAATTACTGGGCCGCAGAGGTATTAGGGTCCCGGGGAGGGAGGTTACACATTATTGGGGTACAGGAATTATTGGGCCGCAGAGGTATCAGGGTGCCGGGGAGGGGGGTACACATTATTGGGGTACAGGAATTACTGGGCCGCAGAGGTATTAGGGTCCCGGGGAGGGAGGTTACACATTATTGGGGTACAGGAATTATTGGGCCGCAGAGGTATCAGGGTGCCGGGGAGGGGGGTACACATTATTGGGGTACAGGAATTACTGGGCCGCAGAGGTATTAGGGTCCCGGGGAGGGAGGTTACACATTATTGGGGTACAGGAATTATTGGGCCGCAGAGGTATCAGGGTGCCGGGGAGGGGGGTACACATTATTGGGGTACAGGAATTACTGGGCCGCAGAGGTATTAGGGTCCCGGGGAGGGAGGTTACACATTATTGGGGTACAGGAATTATTGGGCCGCAGAGGTATCAGGGTGCCGGGGAGGGGGGTACACATTATTGGGGTACAGGAATTACTGGGCCGCAGAGGTATTAGGGTCCCGGGGAGGGAGGTTACACATTATTGGGGTACAGGAATTATTGGGCCGCAGAGGTATCAGGGTGCCGGGGAGGGGGGTACACATTATTGGGGTACAGGAATTACTGGGCCGCAGAGGTATTAGGGTCCCGGGGAGGGAGGTTACACATTATTGGGGTACAGGAATTATTGGGCCGCAGAGGTATCAGGGTGCCGGGGAGGGGGGTACACATTATTGGGGTACAGGAATTACTGGGCCGCAGAGGTATTAGGGTCCCGGGGAGGGAGGTTACACATTATTGGGGTACAGGAATTATTGGGCCGCAGAGGTATCAGGGTGCCGGGGAGGGGGGTACACATTATTGGGGTACAGGAATTACTGGGCCGCAGAGGTATTAGGGTCCCGGGGAGGGAGGTTACACATTATTGGGGTACAGGAATTATTGGGCCGCAGAGGTATCAGGGTGCCGGGGAGGGGGGTACACATTATTGGGGTACAGGAATTACTGGGCCGCAGAGGTATTAGGGTCCCGGGGAGGGAGGTTACACATTATTGGGGTACAGGAATTATTGGGCCGCAGAGGTATCAGGGTGCCGGGGAGGGGGGTACACATTATTGGGGTACAGGAATTACTGGGCCGCAGAGGTATTAGGGTCCCGGGGAGGGAGGTTACACATTATTGGGGTACAGGAATTATTGGGCCGCAGAGGTATCAGGGTGCCGGGGAGGGGGGTACACATTATTGGGGTACAGGAATTACTGGGCCGCAGAGGTATTAGGGTCCCGGGGAGGGAGGTTACACATTATTGGGGTACAGGAATTATTGGGCCGCAGAGGTATCAGGGTGCCGGGGAGGGGGGTACACATTATTGGGGTACAGGAATTACTGGGCCGCAGAGGTATTAGGGTCCCGGGGAGGGAGGTTACACATTATTGGGGTACAGGAATTATTGGGCCGCAGAGGTATCAGGGTGCCGGGGAGGGGGGTACACATTATTGGGGTACAGGAATTACTGGGCCGCAGAGGTATTAGGGTCCCGGGGAGGGAGGTTACACATTATTGGGGTACAGGAATTATTGGGCCGCAGAGGTATCAGGGTGCCGGGGAGGGGGGTACACATTATTGGGGTACAGGAATTACTGGGCCGCAGAGGTATTAGGGTCCCGGGGAGGGAGGTTACACATTATTGGGGTACAGGAATTATTGGGCCGCAGAGGTATCAGGGTGCCGGGGAGGGGGGTACACATTATTGGGGTACAGGAATTACTGGGCCGCAGAGGTATTAGGGTCCCGGGGAGGGAGGTTACACATTATTGGGGTACAGGAATTATTGGGCCGCAGAGGTATCAGGGTGCCGGGGAGGGGGGTACACATTATTGGGGTACAGGAATTACTGGGCCGCAGAGGTATTAGGGTCCCGGGGAGGGAGGTTACACATTATTGGGGTACAGGAATTATTGGGCCGCAGAGGTATCAGGGTGCCGGGGAGGGGGGTACACATTATTGGGGTACAGGAATTACTGGGCCGCAGAGGTATTAGGGTCCCGGGGAGGGAGGTTACACATTATTGGGGTACAGGAATTATTGGGCCGCAGAGGTATCAGGGTGCCGGGGAGGGGGGTACACATTATTGGGGTACAGGAATTACTGGGCCGCAGAGGTATTAGGGTCCCGGGGAGGGAGGTTACACATTATTGGGGTACAGGAATTATTGGGCCGCAGAGGTATCAGGGTGCCGGGGAGGGGGGTACACATTATTGGGGTACAGGAATTACTGGGCCGCAGAGGTATTAGGGTCCCGGGGAGGGAGGTTACACATTATTGGGGTACAGGAATTATTGGGCCGCAGAGGTATCAGGGTGCCGGGGAGGGGGGTACACATTATTGGGGTACAGGAATTACTGGGCCGCAGAGGTATTAGGGTCCCGGGGAGGGAGGTTACACATTATTGGGGTACAGGAATTATTGGGCCGCAGAGGTATCAGGGTGCCGGGGAGGGGGGTACACATTATTGGGGTACAGGAATTACTGGGCCGCAGAGGTATTAGGGTCCCGGGGAGGGAGGTTACACATTATTGGGGTACAGGAATTATTGGGCCGCAGAGGTATCAGGGTGCCGGGGAGGGGGGTACACATTATTGGGGTACAGGAATTACTGGGCCGCAGAGGTATTAGGGTCCCGGGGAGGGAGGTTACACATTATTGGGGTACAGGAATTATTGGGCCGCAGAGGTATCAGGGTGCCGGGGAGGGGGGTACACATTATTGGGGTACAGGAATTACTGGGCCGCAGAGGTATTAGGGTCCCGGGGAGGGAGGTTACACATTATTGGGGTACAGGAATTATTGGGCCGCAGAGGTATCAGGGTGCCGGGGAGGGGGGTACACATTATTGGGGTACAGGAATTACTGGGCCGCAGAGGTATTAGGGTCCCGGGGAGGGAGGTTACACATTATTGGGGTACAGGAATTATTGGGCCGCAGAGGTATCAGGGTGCCGGGGAGGGGGTTACACATTATTGGGGCACTGTAAAGCTTTCTCGCACAGGGCACCTAAAGGCCTAAGGCCGGCCCTGCACACATCCACAGAGAGAGGGTGTGTGTATGTCCCAGGATCACCCTCTCAGTGTACGTAATATCACAGTGCATCCCAGGATCGCCCTCTCAGTGTACGTAGTGTCATATGGTCACCCTCTCAGTGTAGGTACTGTCACAGGATCACGCTTTCAGTGTATGTAATATCACAGTGCTTCTCAGAATCACCCTCTCAGTGTATACAGTGTCACAGGATCACGCTTTCAGTGCATGTAGTGTCACAGGATCACGCTTTCAGTGCATGTAGTGTCACAGCATCACGCTTTCAGTGCATGTAGTGTCACAGGATCACGCTTTTAGTGTATGTAGTGCCATAGTATCACGCTTTCAGTGTATGTAGTGCCATTATATCACCCTCTCAGTGTATGTAGTGCCATTGTATCACCCTCTCAGTGTATGTAGTGCCATTGTATCACCCTCTCAGTGTATGTAGTGCCATTGTATCACCCTCTCAGTGTATGTAGTGCCATTGTATCACCCTCTCAGTGTATGTAGTGCCATTGTATCACCCTCTCAGTGTATGTAGTGCCATTGTATCACCCTCGCTGTGTGTGTGGTGCCATTGTATCACCCTCTCTGTGTGTGTGGTGCCATTGTATCACCCTCTGTGTGTGTGTGTGGTGCCATTGTATCACCCTCTGTGTGTGTGTGGTGCCATTGTATCACCCTCTCTGTGTGTGTGTGGTGCCATAGAATCACCCTCTCAGTGTATGTAGTGCCATAGAATCACCCTCTCAGTGTATGTAGTGCCATAGAATCACCCTCTCAGTGTATGCACTGTCACAGGGTCACCCTCTCAGTGTATGCACTGTCAGACCCCAGATCACAGTACAGCACCAGCTTACCTCCTCAGTGCAGCCCCGTCTGCTCATCCACTAGAACCACTACAATAGGGATAAATGAAGCGTCTACAATAGGGATAAATGAAGCGTTGGAGAAGGATGGAGGAGCTGGCCGCGAGGAATCCGGGATTTGTAGTTCTAGAAGCCCCACATCTCTCAATCAGTCCATGAACAGCGGACTATATCTCCCAGCATGCCTTGCGCGCAGGGTCAGTCATACGGCTGAAGGATTGCAGTTTAGGGATGATGCTTCGGATGACCTGGAGGCTGTATAACCGGGATCGTGCTATGTAACGGGGTGTCAGGCTAACCTCCGTATCAGTCGGTGTACCAGTGACAAGCACCACGCCTCGTATAGAAGGCGGCTATGTTTAAGCTGTTGTCATGGTAGCGGCTAGTTCCTATCCTGCAGATTGCCCTGTGATGTCACAGGAAACATGTGACCAGAAATGCAGGAAATAGTGGGTGGGAAACTCTAATGATGAACAGGAGCTGCTATACAGTGGGAAGGAGGCTGCAAGCTGATCACACGTTTTCCCCCCAGTAAGTCTCCCTCTCACTCCCTCTGTCCATCTTCTTTTACATTATATCCTCTCTGTATATCTGCATCCCCCCTCCTCTCTCTGTATACCCTCTCTCTCTCCATACCCTCTCTCTCTCTCTCCATACCCTCTCTCTTCCTCCTCCTTCGTGTATTTCTGTGTGTATTAGGCCCCATTCACACCTGTAAGTTTAGGTACGATTAGGGATATCTGTGTCAGGAATTTGTGTTTTCTTGCACCAGGAATCCTTGAACCAGTGTTTACTTTCAGCAGCTGAACAGTAGAAAGGCATCATGGCACACTCACAAACCAGCATGTAAAACAACTTGTCTCACCACTAAGGACAATGACAGAGGTTTGGATACACGTCTTCTGCAGAGGATGTGAAAGCCGCACTGCCGCGCCAAGGCACCTCTTATAGTGCGGTCCTAACTCTAAACTATGAGAGTCTCCATCTTGGAGCACATGGGGGCAGAAGATATCAAATTGGGTGCAGGCCTGTCAGGAGGACGCCCCACCTCCTTAAAGGTACAGAAACACACAAGGGATCCCGCACATCCCAATGGCAGCTGAGAAACCCCATGCGTCGCTGCACCAAATCGGTAAAGTTTTGTTTTGCTTTACTTTCAGCAGCTGTCCCGCTCAAGTTAATGATCAGGTGACAGCCGTTGCATGTAAACGCCAGCACACCACACGTAATTGCAAATTATACGATTACATGTGGTTAGGAATCAATTACTCTGCCTGGATGCATGACAAATGTATCCAGGGAGAGTGATTGATGCCTAACCACATGTAATTGTATCACTTACAATTTCATGTGGTGTGCTGGCATTTACATGCAGCGGCTGTCACCTGATCATTATCTTGAACAGGTGGCAGCTGCTGAAAGTAAACACTGGTTGAAGGATTCTATCTGCAGGGAAATGCAAATTCCTGACACAGATATTCCTAAACCTAAACTTACAGGTGTGAATGGGGCCTAATACGCACGCACGCACAAACATACATACCCACCTCACTCACAGAAATCCTGAGAATACACAAAACACAAACCCGCACAAAAAAAATCTACTGATATTGCATATAAAGAAATGGTCACAATCACACACTGACATAAACTCACGCAGATATTAACACTGGTGAGACAAAAACATTGTCCAGTGCCCCCCTCCCGCATTAAATCGAGTTTCAGACCCCTTCATTATTTAATCATTGCAAAGGGGACACATGAGATTTTAAGATTTGAGTGTGAATTAGTGAGGTGTGACAAGCCTTTGCTGGGCTTAAGGTACCAAATGGCTATTAGGCATTTATGTTAATAAATTTGGTATATTAGTGTCGGTTTAAATAAAAAATATGAAAGCAGTAAGTGGAAGCATCATAAGATATAAGTTAGTTGGGGAAATTGTTATCACATCCTTCTGTTTTATAATCACTTGTGCTACAAATCAGTTGAATTGACAGGCCCATGCAAGCAGCCGGGAGCAATAGCCAGACTGCTATTGGCTATTTCAAATTGCAATAGCCAGATGGCTATTGTAGCCCTGCCCACTGAACAGAGGCGCGGCCCAGAGAAAGTTCTCTCTCCGGTACGATCCTCTGCTTGGTGGGCGGGGTTTCAAAAGCCAGCCTGCTATAGGCTTTTGAGATTTTAACTAGTCAATTCTCACCAATGATTTACATTCTGCTGCCAACCACGGAATCTACCCGTCAGCAAAATTTAAACAACTAATTTTGTTAGGCATGGCATTTATTTAGTTGCTAATAAAATTGTTAGTGTGCACGAAGCAACCGACTGTTTTTTTACTACGGGCGGACGGCAAGAGGTTAAAGCATATCAACCGTCCGCCAAAAAGAAAAAAATATCCTATTCGTATTTTTATTTTTCCGGTCGGTTGCAAAAGGTAATTTAGCAGGATGGCAAGTAGCGCCTTCATAGTGATCTGTCTAGTTCCCATCCCTCTATATCAGGGGTGGCAAACACAAGGCCCGCGGGCCGAATCCGGCCCACCGGACCTTGTAATGTGGCCCGCACAGCAGCCACCTCATTTTGCCAAGGTTCAGGCACCACAACATTAAGGCAGCCGAGCTGTCTAACGTCGGCGGGCGAGCGAGCAAGAGGAGAAGGGGGACGGAGCGGCAGGGGGTGGAGACAGAGGGAGATGGGGGCGGAGATGAGAGGACGGGAGGAGAC